CGTAGTCAGAAACACCATAGTTGTAGGTCAACTCCAGGCCTTATATTTCTCGTGCTTGGTAGGGAATGGGGGCATGGGTTATGGGGACTATTGTCGGGGATTATATAGGGACTACTATAGGGATCCATTCCCCCATGCCTGACTAAGCACCAGACAGTTGTTGCTCACTTGCAGGGATGCTCGTACATGCAAGGATCAATCCCGTCTACCTTCACTTCTGTTGTGCGGGCTGTCATGACTTTCGATTCTCTCTGTCTCTCTCTATCTCTCTCTCTCTCTCTCGCTCTCTCTCTTGCTCTGTGTATACATACATATATACGTACGTACATACATACATACTTTCTGTTTCTAGCACTCACCAAAAGGTTGCATGCACCACGCAGGCCGAGATGCAATAGCCTTCGTCTTCGGGCCCGTAGCCAATCATTGTCTTGGACCAAGGCGTCTCGAACTCGCCGTTGCACGTGATTGCACAAGGCTTCTCGAACTCTTCATGTCTCAGTACCTTCATGCCGAAGATCTTCGTAAGGAACCGCAGATTGGCCTTGACATCCGTGGTGCGGAGCACCCAATGGGCCGGCCGACTCTGCGCGATCAAGTCCTCGAGGCTCTCGGTTTAGGGTTTAATAGAAGGGCCTTAATGTAATTAGAACAGGATTTTAGGGCCCATTATGCTATAATTATAATGAGGAGCCCTTATAATAGTACCTCTAGTAGGCTCTTCGGAACAGCACTGGCTCAGACTTCCTGGTGTGAACCAGGAGAGCAACACTGCCATGCCGGAGTCATATTGGCCTGTTTTTTCTCAGGAATTACACTTGCATTAGGATCCTTCACACTTTAGGGGGCAATCCATAAAAGGGATGCTGGAGTCTCTGGGCCCAAACCCTAAACCCTAAACCGTCCCACTTGCTCAGCTGCCTGGCTCTCCACCGGCTTGACCATCCAGTCGTCCACTGTGGGTCTTGCGGCGGCGACCGCACCCCTGGTGACCTCAGACTGCAAGATGAGTGGTCGCGTGCTCCAGAGTGCAAGGCTTTCTGCATCCTTATGTAGCCATAAACGAACGAAAGCGCGATCCACCGTGTGTGGCCTGAGCGATGGACATGTACTTCTAGGAAGCATCGAAAGAAAGAGACAAACCTGTAGACTATGTCAGATACATGAGTAGATTTGCACAAAGGGCTGCAAGTTATATTATGTGGGGTTCCTACTATAGTAGTTACACATGACCTCCACAGCTCCTGGCAAGGAACACATGGCATAGCTATGTCTGCTGGATCTAGGTGATCGGCGGTGAGGTACGGTAGCTGTTTGCAGCCGAAGGTGCTTTGCATCGTCTGCTCTTTCTGGCCGCAGCCAAGACGCCCATGCCTACGAGGGCCGTGGCACCTGGTCTAAGGTTTGTGGGGTTTAGGGTTTAGGTTTTTAGGGTTTTAGGGTTTTACGCTCTCACAACTCGGACGATGCCTAGGATTTAGGGTTTTAGGGTTTCGGGTTTCGACTCGCACACTCGCTCACGCAGGCACGGCTTATGGAGCACTGCAGGCACCGAGCTGCTTGCGAGTCAGAGGATCTCCCCCACAGAAACAGCCCAAAATCGGCGACACGTCCAACTCCCCAACTTTTAGAATTAGATGCAGGAGCTCGAGGCCCCATCCTCTAATTTAGGGGCCTCAATAATTACCTGTACTATTTTGGGGGCTCTTATTATAATTGTAGTACGATGGGCCCCAAAACCCTGTGCTAACTAATAAGGCCCCATGACTATGAACCGGTTGCAGTCCGGAATGCCTTCGCACGGGAAGTGAGACTTCGAGCGCTCAGCCGGCACATTGGTGGGCCTCGCACTTCGAGCCTGTGTGGCAGCAAAGGCCGTTAGGGCTTAGCGTTCAGGGTTGTATGAATGCTGATATTACTGCAACAGCGAAGGCTACTGCTAACTGCATAGAAAAATGACAGGTCTACCTATGGCATTTGTTCTTGTGATGCCTTAGCACCTGTGCATATTTTCATAAGTTTATACCAACATGTAAATATTTCTCCCATCCTTTCTGTCTCTCTGAATCTCTCTATCTCTCTAAGAAGCATGGCGGGAGCAGAGTGCGACGGCGATATGCGAGCGGCAATTGACGATGCAGAGTGGCTGGCAAAAACTGGACAGGCTCCATATACATACATGTATATATATATATAAGTAGATATAGGGGACCTAATAATTAGAATAGGGTTTTGGGGGCGCATGGTACTTATCATTAGGAACTCCCAAGTGGTAGGCGTCTATGGCTTAGCGGCCCCTCTGGATGGCAGCATGTACGTCCCCTACAAATCACGCTAAGGCTTCAAGGCGTAGGTTCTGTCCCTCCATGCAAGAAAAATTGAAAACTCTCCACAGGAAACGCACTCCCGTCACATGGCACACGCTTCCAATCGAATTTTTACAACCTCAGCGCTCAATTTGCTCATGGGGTTTCCGTCCCCTCAGTTTTGACACGGACAGTGTCGCCTAGGTCAACCCCTCGCCTTCTCCCGGATGCGACAGGGTGGCACAGGCGCACAAGCCAAGGTGCAGCATCTCTCTCTTTCATTCGCGAGAGTGAAGGAAGAGGGAGCGACCCTCTTCCCCGGCGCTCCGCGCCCCCCCCCAAATTGTTTGGGGAAGCATCTCTCTGTCTCTCTCTCTCTCTTTCTCTCCAGAGTGGGGATAGCCCCTGAACCAGAACCCTAAACCCCCAAGCCCAAACCACCCTGCAGCCCTAAGGCTTTCAACCTCGTAAACTTACAAACAGAGCAACTCTAACCCTTTGAACTTACGCCCTATGAAACCCTAAAGGCCCTAAACCCTAAATTCTAAACACCTCACCCCCAACCCCCCTAAACCATTCATCGTTAGACCCCACGAACCCCTAAATCCCTAAAAGCTAAATGCTAACAACCTTAAGTCATCAAACAGTAAACCCGAATCCCTAAACCCTCAATCCTCTCTCTCTCTCTCTAAATCCCCGAATCCCCCAACCCTAAATCCCCCCTAGAATAAACCCAAGGCGGCCTGGGCTGCGAGTTGCTGTGGAATCCTGGGCTCCGGTTGGACCACCGAGACGAAAGCCATGGCCTGGGTTGGGACTTAGGTTGGGTTTGGGGGTGATTTAGGGTTTTGGGGTTTAGGGCGGCTTAAGGTTTAGAGTTTAGAGTGGTTTAGGGTGTAGGTGTTTAGGGTGGCTTAGGGTTTAGAGTTTAGGGTGGTTTAGGGGTTTTTTGACACTCACACTCGGGGTTTAGGGAGCTCAGGGAGTGTAAGGAAAGGTTTTGTATGCTTTGACAGGGCCTCTTACGTCGCATTCATGTAGCTTACTTCTCAATTGGTTTGGGCCGCTTTGGCCTCGGAAGAACAGGGTTTAGGGTTCAGTGTTCCAGGCTTGAGGGTCAAGGGCCCTCCACGGACGTATAGATACCTATATCAGGCCATAAACAAGATAAAAAACAGTAGCCCAAAGAGCGAAATACAATGTCCCCTAATTCAAGAACCTAACTAAGAATCTAATTAGGGTGCGGGAGGCTGGCTCAGCATCATGGTTCTACGTACATTCTTTAACCATAAGTGTTGGGCCTTTTGGGTCTACCGCAAGTGCCACCAAGGGGCTGTCAGAGACTCCGTTGGCCAAGGGTATGGGTCTTTGAGCCAAGGGGGGAGCGACAAGACCTCTTGGGAAGATGAGGGTTGAGGGTACTATAAGGGCTACTATAAGAGCCTATATGGGAGTTTCCGAAAGTTTGGGGGTACCTTATTTTGGGGTCCTTGTAATCAGGATCCTACTATTTGGGGTACTATATTAGGTCCCCCTATTTTGGAAAACTCCCAAATGGGCTGAGGGCCTTAACCCTGAACAACCTACCGTTTTCGGGTTCCTTATTGTGATTTCCGTATATAAGTCCTTGAAAAGGTAGGTTATTCCGGGTTAAGGTAGGGCTTAAGGCTTAGTTCTTGGAGGTGTTAGCCTTCGCGTGCAGGGGTTAGAACTGAAAAAGGACTCAGTCTGGGCCCCCGACAGTCTTTGATTAAAGACACTACCTCAAGCAAGAAGAGCTCCAAGTATCGTAAAATCCTAAACCCAAAACCCTAAACCCAAAACCTTCTCTCTCTCTCTCTCTCTCTCTCTCTCTCTCTCTCCCAGGCATTCGAAACGCAACTCAAAACCCTTTCGAAACCGGACTTGATGACTGCCAGCACTTGCTGCCCTGCCGGTCTTCATCTGAGGCCCGAAAACTTCAACACATAAGCCCTCCACTCCTCAACTCAAAACCCTAAAACCTAAACCCAATTGAGGGGCCATTGGGGCAATCTGGAAAAACAGCCTCCAGGCCGCCGAACTGCCAGCGCGATATGAATCACAATACTTTAGAAGCTGCCCCCACCCTTTAATAGTGACCATAAGGATTATATAGGGTTATATTAGGGCCCTATTTTGTTCCCATTATACCACTATTACAGGGTGGGGGCAGCTTCTAAACAATACTGCAGTTCTGGTGCCTCTGGTGTACCCAAAGGCCCCACAGTAGTTCCTTTTTGGGGTTTATATGAATCCTATATAAGGTAATCCCAGAAAGGAACTACTTTGGGGCCTCTGGGTAAGCACTTCCCTTTGCAAAAATACAAAGCCTTTACCGGAAGCCTTTGTTTTGCGCGCCTCTCAACATGCCTACCCCAAGCAACTTCAAACTAGTGTGATCCTCTCCATTCGTTCGCAAAGTTGGCACGGAGCCTCAAAGCAAACAAAGCACAACAACACGTTTCCAGCACCGCCCCATCCAATAGCCAAATCTCCAAGAATTCTGTCCGTGTGTAGAAATGTGATATGAAACCCCAAACCCCCAAAACCCTATGTAATGTAGCATGAAACCTCAAACCCTCAAAACCCTAAGTAATGCAGTATGAAACCCCAAACCCTGAAAACCCTTAAAGTATGGTATGTTCACAACCACCCCCGAGCTGAGTAGCCAGCGCCGATCATCCGGAGCAGCTATCGAAGGCAACGCGACTAGGGCCTCCCTTTTCTCCTTGTTTGCTTAAGGGTTTAAGGCTTTGGGTTTAGGGTTGAGGGTTTAGGTTTAAGGTTTTGGGATCTGGGCTTTAGGGTTTATGGCTTAGGGTTTAAGGATTTGGGTTGCACCGCGCAAAAGTAGTTTACGACAATAGACTATACAAAACTATTCTGTAGCATTACATGCTATACTGCTTCCTCTTGTTAATCCCGGTGCATAATTGGTTCGGGCTCACAGCTGGGACAGGCCGGGCGAGGTGTCTAAGCAGAAAATGTCCAACGATGATGTCTGGGATACCCTTGGCGACGGGCTTTGTGATTCTACCAATTAATTACTAATAGAAAGTCATTGTGATTCGCGATAGCTTTCGTCACGACTGCCCTTTCAACAAGATACAGAATCTGAGCAGTTGGGCTACTGACCGTAGAGGTGCTCGCACAAGCTCCTCAGCTCTGCCCTCCACTAATATTTGCTTCAGGCATCAAGCAGCTTCCCGTGGTCCAAGGCTTCATAAAGCCGCTCTGGCAGGTACACAGCCTTGACAGTCCATCTGCAAACTTCTTTCTTGGAGGCTTCGGGTTCAAATCTGAAGGGACTGAACAGTTCATCACTTGGGCTTGCCATTCGCCCTTTTGCATGTGAGCTACATTCCAGCCTCTATTCGGTTCCACTCACCATGAGACCATTCTCATGCCCCAAGCCACCAAAGCCCGAACACCCTATAGTAAACCCAGAAAGCTCCAGATTCGACGATTTTTGAGCAGGGGCTGCAATTCTCAGACCCTGTTTTGCATCAGGACTTGAGCCTAGGCACTTTGGTGAACCAACACCTAAACCCTAAACCTTGAACCCGGCACTCCAAGCAGCAGCCAAGTCGAAGATAGTCTTTTCGCTGCTTCTGCCGCCGAGAGTTTCCAGATCTTCCAATAAATCCGAATCCAGGGACAACCTGCGGTTTGTTCAGGGTTTAGGGGTTTCTGGGTTAGGGTTTATAGGTTTCGCCTCAGCGCCGGTACGGGCTCAAGAAACTGGTATAGGGTGGAGAATATTTCGCAAGTGTTGTTGCTTCTACGGCTGTCAACAAGAATCCAACGAACCGTTTCCCCATGTCGAATGCCAAGGTGCTGCAGGCACATCGCCGGTACCTGCGAGGAAGCGAACTTGGGAGAGTTCAGGAAATAGAGAAGCATTGAGGGGCAACTTTACGCGTCACGGTCCTGGTCGAGATGCGACGTGCCACTCAAACCTGCTACTCTGCAGAGCCCCGTGAATCTAGTTTGCAATGGGCCTGCCAGGCAGCTCCTACTTGCTGCTTGATGCGACCGATGGTGTCCTCCGGTTTCACCTGCTCAGGCCCGGGCTACGTGATAGAGTCGGCTTTGGCCGCGTTTTCAAATCCACAATGATCCCCAAAAGTGATATTATACGTGGTGCGAAACAAGATCTACAAGTGCCTAGTGCCGTGGAGGGGCATAACGTGGCAGCAGATGGGAAGATGTTGTGTGCATGTGTGCGCGAATGGATGCACTTTCTGAACAAAATCCAGAGCTGCAGTATGTTTCTCTCGACATGTAGCACTCATGCAAATGAGCAGCCTGCTGTAACGCGAGCTTTTTGATTGTTGGTCCCTCTTGTTAGTATGACTCGAATGCCGGCCCTAGTATTCCCTAAATCCTAAACCCCAACCCTAAACCCTAAACCCTAAATCCTAAATCCTAAACCCCAACTCCTGCATGAACCCTAGACTGACTTGCTTGGCTTGGCTTGGCCAAACCGCCCTAATTGTTCGCTTCCAGCTCAGGACAAATCAAACAAAGAGAATCCATGCTAAATGCAGTGAGTTCAGACCAAGTAAGCCTGCGAAAGAAAGTTTTGCCTGTATCAACCCTTGAAGGCCCTACTGCAGAACAGCCCATCACAAGACCACCCCTAAACTCCTACAAGTAAAAATCCTACCCCCTAAACCGGAGAGATGAAAGAAACACTCGGGAAGTGAAGTGGAGCACACGGGACGACGAGATGGTACGCAAAGTGATATGCGGTAGGTCTTGGAGGGGAAGCGGGAGGGGAGGTTCTCTATGTATACTTTGAGACATATATCTATATAATATATACATACGTACGTCTAAGTCTAAGTAGTGTATGCATCGGTGTAATGTGGCGGTCGGTTTAATCGACGGCCCCCCCTCCCCAACCAAAAAGGTTTGGTCTCTTTAATTTGGAGACGGTAACCCCGGACAGGGGTTCAGGGATCTGAGGTGCCGGGTTTGGGGGCTGGCTTGGGTGCAGTGCGAATGCGCGGTCGGGGGGATCTGGGGATCACCCAATGCTGGAAACCTAGTATTAGAACAGTAGTACAGTAGTAGTACAATAGTAGTGCAGTAGTACAGTAGTAGTACAGTAGTAGTACAAGAATAGTACAGTAGTACAATAGTAGTACAGTAGTAGTAGTAGTAGTAGTAGTAGTAGTAGTAGTAGTAGTAGTAGTAGTAGTAGTAGTAGTAGTAGTAGTAGTAGTAGTAGTAGTACAGTAGTAGTACAGTAATAGTACAGAAATAGTACCAATAAGCAAAGCATACAGCCAGTGAGCACATTCCCCCAATAAGCAAAGCATAAAGCCAGCGCCTGAAACCCTAAACCCTAAACCCTAACAACCGCTAAACCCTGAACCCTAAACCTTAACAAACCCTAAACCCTAACGAATCCTAAACTCCTAAACCCTAACAAACCCTAAACCCTAAACCCTTCCCAAAGGGGGGTCAGTCCAGATTCGACCCAAAATTGATTTTTTATACAAACTTTAGAACTGGAGAGGCCTTTTTTGAGCAAGGGTCCAATTCCCAATTCGGCGGTTCACCCTAGCAGCCCCCCCCCAATAAGCAAGGCATACAGTAGCAGTACAATAGTACAATAGTAGTACAGATTTCATTCCTGACGCCCCAATAAGCGAAACAATTCTGCAAGAGATTTTCGGGCTTCAGGGCCAGGGTTTTAGGGTTTGGGTGGGGGCTTCAGGTCGTGGCTGCCTTAAGATTGACCATCAGCAGACAGCACACACACACACACACACACACACCCCAAAAATCCCCCCAGCAAAAAAAACAAGCATTAATTAGACCGCCCAAATTTTTGGTACCGGTCGGAATTAGCACCGGAGACAACGCATTAAAGGAGCCCATATTCCTAAACCGACCGGCACATTATGCGTCGTAAGCACCGAAAACTCTTTCTGAGATGCCTGAAGCTGGAGGCAACGTCCAGACAGGCCATGGATGGCAACGGAGAGATGTTGCACCATTGCTAAGGTAACGAGGGAATGCACGGTAAACTTCAAGTGCAGGGGGACCAGAACAGTGGTTGAACGTGTATTCCTCCATTTTCTAGATGTCCCTGCAATGGTTTAGATGGGGCAACCCTCTTACACCAGTCTGCTCACGGCGTGACCACATGGCGTGTCAACGCGGAGCCAGTGCAAGTCCACGTGGAGATATGCAAGGGGCTGGACAAAAATCATCAACGGCAATGCCATGTGCCACATGCTCGAGTGGCGAGCTCGTTTGCAAGCGCCGCTTCTGGTTCCTCGGCCGTGCTGCAGTTAGTTGGCTGTGCAAGGCTACTCGTACCGTGAGGTGCCGGCACTAGGCAAAGTTTGCTCACCGACTCCATCGCCTGCAAGACTCGTCTTGTGAGAGATCGGAACGATTCTGTGGCAGCATGCGCTAAGCCGAATCTGCCTGAAGCTGCTGCAGGCCACGCCGTTTGCTCTGGAAGCTGCAGGTCTCCGGGCTCTGCCTCAGTCTTGCGCTTTAAGTGGTCGTAGTCGCAGTAAGCCGCAGTAGTAGTAGAAGTAGTAGTAGAAGTAGAAGTAGTAGTAGTAGTAGTAGTAGTAGTAGTAGTAGTAGTAGTAGTAGTAGTAGTAGGAGTAGTAGTAGTAGTAGGTAGTAGTAGTAGTAGTAGTAGTAGTAGTAGTAGTAGTAGTAGTAGTAGTAGTAGTAGTAGTAGTAGTAGTAGTAGTAGTAGTAGTAGTAGTAGTAGTGCTAGTAGTAGTAGTTGCGGTTGTCGTGGCATCACTCGACGTAGCAGCAGCAGCAGCAGGATAAGCAGAAGCACTTGGAGGTGGTCGTCGATGTGGTGGTGCTAAGTGGTAGATGGTAGGTGGCAGGTAGTGGGCAGTATATAGGTCAGTAGGTGATGTAGGTGGTAGGTCGTAGTATTAGTAGTGGTCGTCGTCGTCGTCGCCGTTGCAGTTGCATGTGTAGCAGCAACGGCAGTAGTAGCAGTGGTTGGTAGTGGTCGAGGTTCTGGCTGCAGCAGGCTTCGCAGAAGCAGTAGCAGGAGTAATGAGTACTAGCCACTACAACTACTGACTTTTTGGTTATACAGCACTGCTTACCAATACTGCTGTGACCATGCTTCCTCATCTTCGTGGTCAGAAGTTGTAGTGCCAGCAGCAGCACTTGCAGTAGTCGTCGTCGTGATCGTCGTAGTCGCACTTGTAGCTGTAATTGTAGTTGCCGTCATTGTTGCTGTTGTTCCTGCCGTCACTATGGTAGGAATTGTTGAAGGAGGGCTTCACGTAGGTGATATGCGCTCTTTGTTAGACCTGCAAAGAGGCTCTAGGGTTTCAGACTGTTAGACTTCTGACTAAGTTTTCAAGAAGACAAGCCCAGTGCACAAGTACGCCGAAACAAGTCGCATGCAAAGGGCAACCCAGGCCCCAACCACATGGACACCACCTCGCCACGAGTCCAACCTTGCTTCCAGAGCACTAGGCCACATGAGCAAGCGACAGCATGGGTCACCCTAAAATTGATGAACCCGAGATCCAGCATTCCCGCACGGACAAACTACCCCAGCTATGACTCCCGGCTTTATGGTTCTGGGAACAAAGCATCCAAAGCAGGCCGAAGCTGGGCCCCATGCGAATCACTGCTTTCGTTCGCCGCGGGCTCCTGAGCATTACGTGCCTTGCTGAGATTTTTGAATGCTCGCTTACGATTCTTCAGTCACCATTAAATCACGACTGGCAACTGTTCAGTATACCCCTCGTTCATGAACACAAAGCATATAGTTGGTTGGCTGATCTGCAAAAAGGCTTCGAATTCAGTAGCTCATTGCAATCGGCTGGAAACTAGAGTACTATTGCATGGAATTGCATGACTGGCACTCAGTGGTCCGACGTGCAATCTCAAATTCGTTCTTGAACGGTTCTCAACTTCCACAACCTGCCCTTTGCTGGTAAGTTTCCATAACCTGGGCAATCTAGGCTTTCCGATTTCCGGGTATACATCTGCCACCTGTACACCTGGGACAATCTCGAATAAAGTCCCTGAGCGGAAGCAGCAAGACGTATGCAATGACTTCGTGTATGGCGGCTCCTTCTTGGCAACCTCTTCGTCACTTGCTGAAAGTCCTTCCTCCGACGACTCGCTGCCAAGCGACGCATCTTCGTCCTGTCGTCTCTGGCTGAGGCTTCTGACAATCGCAGAAACATCTACAGATGTCCACATCCGACCTTCTCGTTTTGCGGTCCGGCTGCTTATCTCAATGGGAGTCAAACACCCCTAGACCGCCTAGACCCTAAACAGTAACGCCAAAGCGTCATCTCAGCCACCCCTCCCTGCTCTGCTCCCCCCCAGGCGCTGAAGTCGAGTGAGTAGAGACTTCGAAGTCGTCCTACAAACGGAGCTCTCTGATATGGGTGGCGGCCCAAATTATGGTGGTACCCAAGAAGGGGCCCTATTTATGACAACCACCCATATCAGGTTCGGGCTCCGCTTGGGGTTTCGACGCTCACGCTCGCGTGAGGCAGGCAAGGCTCCACATGGGGGTTTTCCGAAACTACGGGACCCCAATATAGCACCCTAAATAGTAGGATCCTTATTAAGGCTTAAGGACCCCAAAACAAGGTACCCCTAATTCTCGGAAACTCCCACATTGTTTGTGGGCTTAGGGCCGCTTGGTTTTTTTTGACACTCTCGGACAAGCCTGACGAGGTCAAGAAAGTAGGGTTGATGATATAAATCCTGCATTATCCTTAATAAGGAATATACCATACTTCCCATAGTTTAGGGCCCTTAAGGTAATGCAGGATTTATATCATCAACCGTAGATTCGGATGTCTTAGGGTTTAGAGAGCTCCCTAACCAAAGACTCATTGACAAGAGGGTCTTGCAGTATCGGGATTCAGCGGATCAGAGCCAAGGAAGTGCACCGATACCGGTTTGCGGCTGGATGCAAATTCGTACCGAGACTCATGGAAGAATCTGGAAAGTAGAAAGATTCTGCTTTTACTACGAATCGGTTCTGAGGACTTATTATCAGGCACCCCACTGGGGCAGGAGCACGATTGCGTGGCCGGTCATGCAGCACACTGTGGCTGGAAGACGTGCCGCAGCCCAAAATGCAGGGGAAGCTGTAGCGGGAGCATGCTTCTTAGATTCTTCGAGGCGAGAACACGAATGCGCTGCACTGTGGCGGCAATTGGGGTCGCAGCCCAAAGATGCAAGACTGCATGGCGAGCGCGCGATTTCGAATTAGTTCAACTTGTAGGCCTGGAAAAAGGCAGGGCAAAGACAAAGACCTGGCCAAGACATGGGCCGCCCAGAAGTCGCAGGCCAAAAGGTGCCAGTTCTACTACGGATGCGTCGTAGAAGGAAGTCCACAAAGAGAGCTTGCGAAGGCTCGGAGCTCGCGCAAAGACGCAGCCGGAAGAAAGGGATAGAATTTGAGAAAGCAGGGTTCGTTGCAACCATTGCAGCGACATCGATCTCAATGACACTGTAAACTGTGAATCCTTGCATACAAGAAGCTCGATTATTCTTGAATAGCGCTTCTGCTGCAAAAGCTCACAATGACCAGCTTGTAGAAGCTTGCGCGAACAGGGAGCCCCCAAAGAAAATAGTAGGCTACTTCTTGCAAGGATCCTGCAGTACAGCAAGCGACCTCGAACCAAGAAAGACACCATGTCTCATGACTCTCATCCTTTGCTTCTTCTTCTTCTTCTACGTCCTCTTCTTCCTCATCGTCTGTTTCCACCGGACCTCAGGCAGCATTTACGCCCTCCGGTGGACGATTTAAACTCATCGTCAGGATCACAGCATTAAGACAGCATCCGAGGTCCTTCAGGGACCAGGGCTCTCGTTCAGTCCGCAATAAACGCAAGCAAGCTGGCATCGAGTGTTGTGCGTGAGCCCTGGCTGTGCGATCTGTGATCTTTCAATCGGCTCTATGACGTCTACACGTTCGTGAACTTGTGAAGTGCGAGTGCGCAAACATGCTGTCCGTGTCTGTTTCCGTGCTCCTTACGGCCCCCACCTTCAGCCACCGCAGGAACCGAAGTGCCAGTCTGCCTGCGGGTTGATTCGGGAATAAAACCTTTGCGCGCTCAGGGTTCGGAGCTGCTGCTAGCGGACTTGCTGGTCAGCACAAAAGGCTTCTTTTTTTTTGAGGGCCCTTTTCCTTCTTGCTACAGTCGGAATACCTATTAGGTAGAGCCTGGATGAGGACTACCAGGGACTCAAAAGGCTTCTGGGGACTAGGATTTGCTTTAGGGCCCCGACCAGCTCCGCTCGCACAGTGCCACGGCCTCCTTGCGATATCTGCCAAGTTGATGCCGCGGAGCCCGGCCATGCTGCCACTCCCACCTCAGAAGCCGAACAACAATAACAGTAACAACAATGATAATGATAATGATGATAAAAATGATGATAAATAGTAATTATTATTAGAAGAACAACATAGAACAACAATAACACCAAAAGCGATGATAAATTATGACAACAATACTGAGACTGATGATAGCAATGATAAGATTCATGCCGCTCCCAGCTCGGAGGTCGATGTACAAGCCTGTAATAGGCACGAACAAATAGGGGCTAATAGACAGGAATAGCCGCTCACATCATAAGAACCACAATTCTTAATGACGACACTAAAAATAGCAAGACGGTTGATCACAATGGTGATAACATTTTCATACAGTAGCACTGGCGGCAGTTACGACCATAGCCACCTCTATGTGGAGAGCATCGCCAACAGTACCTTGGTCTTGCACTGCAAAGGTCAAGAATGCTCTAGGTGCCGGGCTGCTGTCGAGCTCGCTGCTGCTCGACCGACTCGGACGTCTGGGTTTTTTCCCTGAGGCGGCGTCTTCTTCGCGGGCCTTCCTTGAAGCAGCAATGCACAATTTTAGGCTGTAGCTTGCTTGCGCTTTTCCTGCTAGCCGCTGTCCGTGCTCGAATGCAAAGAGGCCATGGCAAGAACAGAGCCTACCGCACAGCTGCTGCTTTTCCTTGCTCTCGAAAGTGCAGTGGTCAGCATTCAATATCTTCAAGTGACAGGAGCCTCTTTTTGGCCACTGCCGGATTAATTACTCTGGAACAGAACTGGCATGCTATGCAGAAGCTGCTGCCACCATGTCTGTGTGTCCTCGTGGAGCATGAAGCCCTAAGTCTCCTCCTCTCGGCTACTGGCCCTTATACTGTAGGGGCCTAAATATTTACCAATACTATTTTGGGGTTCCTTACTACAAGTATAGTATTATGGGCCCCCAAACCATAGTCTAATCATTAAGGCCCCTGTAGTAGTTCTCTTCTCAACACAGCAGCTTCACGCTGCCCTCCAGCTCGGATTCTCGTCTCCGCGAACCCAAGAGCCGAGGGCAATTCTCAGGTCTGCATAATAAACGCTTTCGGTGAAATGGAACTCAATCAAGATAACTGACGGACCACGACCAAAGCGGACACAACGCTATTGAACAAGTCGAGTCCAAGCTGGCGGTGAGGATCCACTCCATCACCCACCCATAAAGGGGTGCTCAGGCTCGCGCCGTGTGGGGAGATATGATATGGGCATCTGTGCCCATTCATTGCCGTAGGGATGTCTACGCTGAGCAGCTTCCATCGTCAAACAGGTGTCGACGGCGACATTGAAGATCATTTGCTAGGAAGGCCGCAACACTCTCTTCCAATCGCTCACTACATGCCTACCCGGACCTACAACATAGCATGGAAAAACTAGCCTCCGATGGCAATTCTCAAAGAGTCAGCAGCCTCCACTGCAAGGATAGCAGCTCTGGGGGAAGGTGCGCTTTAAAGCATGCATGCACCTCCGACGCGACAAGCTGCACTTAGACATGTGTGCAAGGTTGCTGGATTTATGTCTAGGCATGCGGGTGAAGCCTGAAGCAGTAAGCTCTGAGCCCCGAGCCCTAAGGCTCTCCAAACACATTGTATCATCGTAATTGTTATATGGGTATAAATGTAGATGTATACTTGTACATATGTATATGTACATATAATATGTGTATATATATATATTCAAAGGTATAATGCTTTCAACCCTGTGCCCCTCGGGGCATACTAGCCACCAGCCACCGCTTGGACTACAAGCAGCCTCGCCGCTGCTGTGTGCTTTCGGCACTGACATCCTTTAACTTGGCACAAATTGGGGGGGTTTCCGAAATTAGGGGCACCTTATTTTGAGGTCCTTATAATAAGGATCCTACTATTCAGGGTGCTATACCAGGGTCCCCTATATTCAGCAACCACATGTGAAGGCGCCTGTAGCTCCATATGTGTGAAAACCACAATCACGGAGACACAGAGGTAGATGGACAACTAGATACATACACAGAGATGGGTAGATAGACACATGTATAGGCAGATCGCAGATAGACAAACAGATCAATGGGCAGATGGACAGATAGATAGGCAAGTAGGTAGATAGATTAGGCAGATTGTTCTGATAGATAGCTAGTTAGGTAGATAGACAGACAGATAGATAGATAGACAGCTAGAAGGAGAGGAAGAACGATAGATAGACAGGTAACTAGGTAGGTAGGCAGGCAGGCAGGCAGGCAGGTGAATAGGTACATGCATAGATGGATGGGTAGATAGGCAGATAGATATAGGTCGATAGACAGCTGCTGGGTGGGCAGATGGATGGATAGTGTCTCCCTGTCTGTCTGTCTCTGTTTTGCAGTGCTCGGGGTTTGGGCGGAATTCCATCGTTGTGGGCCTACGCTGGCATATGTCTTTCGTCTGTTGTCTATTTAGTGGTTCAGCCCAGGTGGTACTCATTTCCGCTCCTGTACTGTACCTGTACTGTTCTTGTTGACAATGCCCGTATGTACACATGTCGGTAGATAAGTGGATAATCGTGCCAATAAAGGATCTGCCCAGCCGAAAGCTGCCGCGAGGTCACAAGTTGAGAAGCGATTTGGAATCTTAGCTCCACCTTGAATAGACACGCCAGGCAAACATACAGGGGTTGTTCTACATTGCGGTCCCCCTTTGGCTCAATCTTCCATGCTGCTACTAAAACAGAGCGCTGTAAAGGAGCCCGCAGTCAACGTAGAACAACCCCACAGTGAACCACAAGATCCACACGACACGCGTCTCAAACCTTCGAAATGGGTCAAGTTTTCGGTTTTTAGGCTCCTCGTGTGGGTGTCGTGGTCGTGGATTGCCGTTCGCAAGATCGCTTGCGAACCGCCAGCATACGTGTCTCGCGCCAACGGCTGTCCGCCACTTGGGAACGTCAGTAATGCACCTCTGAGTTAAGAATTCCTTCATATTAACACCAAGCAGTCTGAGTCTACCTGAAGTTTTCACTGGCTGCGCGAAACCGCGAATGATAGCCTGGTTCGATTTGCTAAGCGGAGACGGGAAGCAAACTTCGGCATTAAAATGTGTAAATCTGGGCAGTGAGCTCCAGGCAACACAAGGCCGGATGGTGCCCACGTCCAAGTATATAGCGGGGAGGGGACCTACGGTCGTTGGTCCACTACCTGGCCAGGCAGCCACAGGGTGGGGTGCGGATGAGTTTGCAACTGACGCCAACCTGGCCCTAGCTACTGCGCTCACCATCAGCTTCAGCATCACCATGTGGGCATCCGATTGCTTCGTGGCTGCCCGGCCTCTAAAACGTGCGCTGTCCTAGTCCTACACTGCGAGATGCTGCAAGAGAGCTGAGCTGGGCTGCAGACAACTTGAGCTCGAAGATCCAAGATAGATCTACATCACAATTAGAAATGAGCCTTGCATGTATCATGTATGTTTGTAGGTAGTTGTCTATGTACGCACGCACGCAAGCAAGCAAGCGCGCCCGTTCTTGTGAAAGCTCGGAGGTATGAAACACATGTACTTCTGGAAGCAGCACTGTAAATAAGTGATTCTTTTGCGTTGTTGAAGGACATAGGTGTGTATGTATGTGTGTATGTATGTATGTATGTATGTATGTATGTGTATATGTGGGCATGTGTGTAGGTGTGTGTGTGTGTACGTACGTACGTACGTGTATGTACACATGTATACAAGTATGTATGTACATACGTATGTATGTATGCATGTAGGAATATATAAGTATGTGTACATGTACTTATCCGTATACATACATGTACGTATCTTACATATAATGTCTGCCAGCGTTGCTGCTACAAGAAACTTTTACATATCCCCGTACCTTTACTACTTATACAATAATGCCTATGACATCCGATGACCGTTGGTACTGGTTGTCCAACATTACGGTGAAAGACATGCACATACATGGTGGATATACATACGCATATTATATATATATATATATACACACACATGCATGCATCATTCCATTCATCGAACGTTCATTCATATCATTCTTCCATTCCCTTCATTCCATTCCATTCATCCTTTCTTTCCATCCATCCATCCATCCATTCACTCATGCAGTCATTCGTTCATTCAGCTGTCTATCTATCTGTCTATATATATATATATGTATGTATGTAGGTACATCTATATGTACTGGTATACATACATATATCTATATATATAATATATATATATATATATATATATATATATAGATACAGATATAGTGTATACATACGTGCGTACACATGTACATAGGTACACACTTCTCCCATCGTGACAAAGAGATCCATCCGATGCGTCCTCATTGTCACACATCTTTGATGTGCGGCTCTTCAGAGCATGTTTCGCAAGCCGTTCGCAAAAAGCGTACATACTTAAATAAAAACATACAGACATACATATACTGATGTTTATGTATCTATATATATATATATATATATGTGTATGTGTGTGTGTGTGTGCGTGTGTGTGTGTGTGTAAGTAAACTAAGCAAACAAAAACCCGAAACAAATTATCACGATTATAACTAAATATATATATATATATATATATATATATATATGTGTGTGTGTGTGTGTGTGTGTGAGTGTGTGGTGTGTTTGTGTGTTGTTATACATGTACACATGTGTTGATAAGTACAAGCTTGCGCCCAGCTCCCTGGCTCTCTGCTAGCCTGGGCATTGCTTCCAGAAGCAGCTCACTGGCTGCATGCGCTCTTCTTCGGCTTCGGATTTTTGGGCACACCGGGATGTTATCACCGTAGCCAGACACGCTGGAGTGCCTGGTTGCACGCGTCCAAGGATCGCTTTAGCACGAAGACCGCCGACATGCACTGCTGCAGGAAGTCCGGGAGAGGTCGTGCCAAGGGGTGTCCGTTTGGTTCGTCCATCTGATTGGGGTCCATCGCCATGTGTTGCACAGGTGCCGGCTGAAGCGGTGTAGGTTGCAACCCACCGTGAAGCCGTTGAGTCAGCTCGACGAGATACCGATTCTCCATCAGTCCTGTTGAGGGCACCTGATGGTCTCCCAATCTGCACGGCAGGCTTGCGGAGCGTCGAGGCGCTGGGCCACCGAGGATACGGTCCTCCTGAACATCGATGAAAGTCAACTTGTAGCGCAAACTCATCGTAGTGGACCGATGGCACTTTTGACTCTAGGCACACCCTACGCTGCTATGCACAGATCTGGTAAGCAAACGCTTGAGCCACGATGGGATTGGCCGTTGTCAGCAGCGGCAAGTCTTCATGAACGGAAGGCAATCCTGTCAGCTCAGACAGGTTTTCTGCCCCTGGTGCAACTATTGCCGACCAAGCTGCTTGCGCTGCTGCTTGTCAGATTTCTTCTCCAAGGCCCCGCGATAGATCCTGCTCAAAGCAAGCGCATGTTTCATGCATGCCCGAGGCACCATCACGTTTCCGCTTCAAGTGTAGGAATAGCATTCAACACAGCAAAACAAAATCATACGAACAAAATCAGAATTTAAAAGTTGTGAGTTTAAACTTTTAAAAAAACAAATTCGCAGAGGTTCCCCAGGATTTTCTCCACATCGTCCAGCCCGGGCAAGCCGAGGGCTTGGGAGGCACTGGGTCGACTCTCCGGCCCTTAGTGTCCCACTTGGAGGCCCTTTTGACTTAGGAAGGTTAGGGGTTCCTTTAAAGGGGTTCCTAAAAGGGATCTATAGGGGTTCCTTAAAGGGATCTATAGGGTTTAGGGTTTCTTACTTGGAGGCCCTTTTGACTTAGTAAGTAGGGTTCCTTTAGAGGGGTCCTAAAAGGGATCTATAGGGGTTCCTTAAAGGGATCTATAGGGTTTAGGGTTTCTTACTTGGAGGCCCTTTTGACTTAGTAAGTAGGGGTTCCTTTAGAGGGGTTCCTAAAAGGGATCTATAGGGGTTCCTTAAAGGGATCTATAGGGTTTAGGGTTTCTTACTTGGAGGCCCTTTTGACTTAGTAAGTAGGGTTCCTTTAGAGGGGATCCTAAAAGGGATCTATAGGGGTTCCTTAAAGGGATCTATAGGGTTTAGGGTTTCTTACTTGGAGGCCCTTTTGACTTAGTAAGTAGGGTTCCTTTAGAGGGGATCCTAAAAGGGATCTATAGGGGTTCCTTAAAGGGATCTATAGGGTTTAGGGTTTCTTACTTGGAGGCCCTTTTGACTTAGTAAGTAGGGTTAGTAAGGTGGGTTATGGGGATTATAATGGGGTTTCTGGGGGATACTAAGTAGACTTACTAAGTCAACAGGGCCTCCAAGCAATATCCCTTCATGAAGGAACACCTAGGGTTCCTTGAAGGGATCTATGAGAGATCTATAGGGTTTAGGGTTTAGGGGGCTCCAATATCCCTTAATTAAGGAACATTCCTTAAACCATGTTAGGGATCCTATTATAAATTAAGGTATATTCCCTAATTAGGGGATATTGGAGTCTCTAGTGTTAGCGTGCCCAAGAAGCCCAGGGCTTTCGGGTTGATAGGCTAGGCTTTAGGGTTCAGGGTTAGTTTCAGGTGTGCGTGTGTACATATATATATATATATATAGCCGCAGAGAGGGAGGGACAGAAAGAGAGAGAGAGAGAGAGAGAGATAGCAGCCCCAAATCCTTAACACTACAAGATGTAAACAAAAAAAACTACCTCAATCCGACATCCGCTGGGGCCGGAGCGTTTTTGAAGCAGCCGCATCGCCAAAGTTGCAAGCTGCTGGTCAGCATCGTCGTCCAAGGCGGGTGGCTCCTCCGTGGTGATCTTGTGCACCAAAGAGAGAACCTCATTGGGGTTTGAGGATTTAGGGTGCTTCTTCTGGCCCCTGGTATTCAGTCAGCTGTGATCATCGGCCTCCCACACGGCCTACACGCTGCTTAGAGGATCAGGGGCCTTAGTAAGCAGCTACAAGCACGCTCCTGATTCAAAACTCTAGTCACTCTAGTCTATTCTACAAGCCTACTCCCGACCTACCTCCGAAGTCCCCTGATACTGCAAGTGATGCAAGCATGGGCGCATTCTGAGCTTCGAATGGCCGTCTCCTTGGTGACTGATACAGGAGATGGCAGGGACCGGGTCACGAAGGCCATGGGCAACACTGGTTCATTATGACACACGGCTGGTGGACAACAACCCTGCCTTGTCCGTATAGGGCTTAAGGTTTAGGATAACAGTGAAGGGCATACCTTGGCTCTTTTGGGTCAGAGCATTTAGGACAAGTTGGGATTTTGCCCATCGGAAGAACCCCACCCTCCCGGCCCGATTGTAAGGCTCGGTCAGAGCTAGCAGTTCATAGAGAACCACGCCGACGCTCCACATATCAGATGCAGCAGTACCACCACGGCCATCCCACCATTCCGGAGCCATGTACATGGGACTGCCTACCTTGTCTTGCACAAGAAGGATAAGTGACTCAGAGCGTAATTTGGGCTTCTAATTCTAATTAAAGACCCGTAAATGCAAAGCCCCTACACAAAACTTACAACTTCCAGCTTAATGTCAATCCCTACACGACTTAGAACTTGAAAAGTACCCTTGTAGAACCCTTGTAGCCCTAAGTTTCAAAATTGGCCCATGCAGCTGGGTAGCAGATGTCATGGCTTTCTGTTGCGACTCAGAGAGCTGCTTGCTCACTCCGAAATCCCCGAGCACGATGTTTCGAGCCTGGGCTTGAAGGGCTTAGGGATTAGTAGGACAAGGAGTTTAGGGTTTAGGGGTTTCGGCGCTCACACTCGGACAAACCAGGCGAGGGATATGGTTCGGAGTCTGACAATGTGAGACGTGCTAGAGGGACAGTCGTATGATAGGGTGTTGGGATTAGTAGGATAAGGCGTGATTTTCGCAACCCGCCTAGCTAGGTCGAGCCCGCATTGCGGAGTTATGTAAGTTAAACAGCAACGTACGTAGGATAGGATGTGCTACTTGGAGGGTCATGGGACTTAGTGTCAGGTTATAAGTACCTTAATCGGCGTTATAAGTGACTATAATAGCCACCTCAAAAAAACCCCACGTACTAGGTCCCATGATCCTCTAAGTAGGGTTCAGGGTTTTGGGTTTTCGGGGCGCAGTCGGGTCCTTTCCTCAAGACTTCGGGTGTACTTAGGGGACCCTAATCTACTACCCTAAATAGTAGGATCCATATTATATGTAAGGCTTTCTGAACTCATGGGCAGGTGAAGCGTCATGGGCAGTGTATGCCAAGAAGCCCCAGTAATGAACATGTTGCTGCCTTTGACGTCTCTGTGCACGATGCGCAGGCTGTGCACGTGCTTCAAGGCCATGCACAGCTGGGTCACCCAATTCTTTGCTTTGCCTGCGTTCTTGCTGAGGGATTCAATTTTTAATTCAAATTACCATAATAAGGAAACCATATTATTTACTATAGATCCCCATTATGGTAACTTGAAATAAATGCCTTAACCCTTCAAGGAACCCTTATAGATCCTTTAAAGGAACCCCTATAGACCCCTACTATGGTAACTTAAACTTAACCCTAAACCCTAAACCCCTAAACCGTAAACTCCTTTAAGAAGAGCCCAGTTGCCCAGCGGCAGCTCTAACTCGTTCCTCAGCTTCAGCCCACCCGAGGGCTCCATGTACCATTACAGTAAACTCCATAAAGTTGGAAACCGAATTAAGGCCAAATAGTGCTGGGCATTAATCTTAAGGATTGAGGCTATTGGGTTTCCAACTTTTGGGCTTCTACCATATAGTAGACACTTAATTCTTACAGGGATCCCTATATAGGTACTTTGAGGACTAGGTATACTCTATAAGGTAATTTCCGAAAATGAGGGACCTTAGTATAGTACCCTAAAGAGTAGGTTAGGATGCTTATTATAAGGATCCCCAAATAAGGTACCCCTAATTTTCGGAAACTCCAATAAGGGCACATGGAGCCTTAGGCCCACTTCAGGTGCTGGGTTTTGGGCTCCGGGGCTTCCTCCGGGCCTGAAGCTCGTTGTAGGGTAATGTAGGGGCCTTCATAATTAGAATAGGGCTCGTTTAAAGGTAGCCTTAAAGGGTTCTATAAGGGATCTATAATCGGATTCTGTATTGAGGGCCTTAATAATCAGAATAGGGTTTGGGGAATTTTGGGGTTCCTTTTATAGTATAGTTATAGTAAGGAACCCCAAGGAATATTAGTGGAAATTATTTAGGCTTCTATAGTACAGCCCTCGGGAGCTTCAAACCGCAGACTGCAGAGCTGGTGCTCATGTGCAAGCGGGATTCTCGCGGCAATCGTCAATTTCTTTCTGGACGTCGCCTGGGGGCCCGAAGCAGAAGGATCCCACGTTTTGAGCACAAGAGCCTCCACAGAGAGGAGCCCAGAAACCACCGATAAATGTGGGGGAGGGGCATTATAATAATATAGAAGAGCCATTATACTATCATTAGTATAAAGAACCCCGAAATAGCATTGGTAGTTTTTTAAGCCCCCGATCGTTGCCTCCAGGATAGAATTTCAGAACGATCCAGTAGCTCAGCATGTCCTCACGAGAAGCTCGCAACGAGGCATCCGGCAAAGGGCGGAACGGTTTCTAGACAATGGGTCCTGGGAGGTCCACACCACATCCACCAGCTGTGCCACGCACTCGTGTCGAACTTTTTGGAGCAGAGCTATCTCCTCGAGACCTGCTTTCAAGAATCGTCAGCTGGCGGATGCATCCGTGGTGCGAGGTTTCCCGGTAAGGAGATGTAGAATAGAACCCTTTGTAGCGATTTATGAACCCCTATACACCCCGTGTAGTGGAGGGGCCTTGACACATCAAAAAATGATTTTTGTGGCATACTATAGCCGTCTATTGGGGCTAGTAGGGGGTATCATTATACTACGTAATTACTCCGACGTCTACATGAAAAGCCTAAACCCAATCTTGCTTGTCCAGCATCCTAAGGGGAATGAAGGTATATGGATCACGGTTCCCCAAAAAAGTCAAAGGTTATCTGCGGTGCGAAGCGATGGTTCAGTCGTTTGTTCAATGGACAAATCTTTCGTCCGAGGGACACATATTCCGCTGCTTCTCGGCCATCTCCTGAAGCAAACATCCAGGAGGGTTTAGAGGTTTGGGGCTTGAGGGTTCAGGGCAAAACCAGAAACAAGTTTGTGTTTGATTCAGGGCTGCATTACGGTATCAAGAACCTGCGGTGTGGGGGTGCGGATTCTATCAGCCCGCGTCAGTCAACGACCTACGGTGCTCAATCCAAAATCTGAAGGCTCAGGGATCTTTGGGGATTGGAAATTTCATTTGCGGCCACTTCGTGAACCTGTTTACGAACGGAGTCTGCCAAATCTGCCAATAATCTTAGACAGGGCATGCCCCCTCCTTCACGGAACATTTCTTCGCCACCAGCCGCCGCCCGTCGCGAAGCCTCCGAACCTCCAGCAAATAGAACCCGTTCTTGGCATTGAAGCGATGACTGATAGTGGCGATGACGGTGATGACACGAGTGCTGCTACTGGCGATGTTGTTGATGCCGGTGTGGCTTTTGCTGGTGTTGCTGCTGCTGTTGTGGTCGTCTGCATTCCGAAAAGTCATTTATCCCCCAGCATGTCAGGTTGGACCCAACACCCGAAACCCGAAGCCACCTGCCTTTCTGTCCTCAATTTTCGGGGCAGCCCGGGATCTGTGCAGAGTGGTATATACACGGAGCACAGCACCGCGTGTGCGCAGCTCCCTTTACAACGCTAAGCGTCCAAACGACCTACGACTAACTGGCTGGTGACTTAGGTTTCGGATTGTAGGTTTTTGTAGCAGTTGGGACAGCATATCCTTAGTCCTTTTTTCCCCAAACCCTACGCCGTAAGTATATGGGTAGTTGTCAAAATTATGGTCCCTTCTTGGGTACCCTAAATACTAGGTGCCGTACTATAATAAGGACCCCAAAAGGGGCCATATTTCTGACAACCACCCATATGGGAGTTTCCGAGAATAGGGGTACCTTAATTTGGGGGTACTTATAATAAGGATCCAACTATTTAGGGTACTATGTGAGGGTCCCCTATTTTCGGAAACTCCCATATGACTCTTCGGTGCAAGGAGCCAGGACCGCCGCACCGAAGGCCCCCGAGCCCAGGTGTCGGATCTCTTCCTCGAAGGCAGCTCGACGGTTTTTCTCTCCGAAAGAAACCTTGCGCCTAACGGGTTCCTTTAAAGGGGTCTATAAGGGTTACTATAAGGGATCTATAAGGGTGCTATAATGATGTAGGAACCTGATTAAGAAGCCTTGGGCCTTTGTTAGGATTTCTTTTTTTGAATCCTACTACTTTAGGGTTATAGGCCAGTGCTTCTTGATCAGGTTCCTACATTACATGAGACTTACGGTCCCGTTTCAGAAAGCCAAAAGTAGGGTTCAGAAGGGTCCCTCTAAGGGGCCCCCTACAACTACCCAGGACTACAGGTAGCACGGACTAGGCAGTTCCATGGTTTAGAGTTCGGGTTTACGCTGTTGCAACTCGGATACTGCCAGGATCACAACGACGACATCCATCTCAATTCAAATACCACGACAGAAAAGGCCCATCTAACAACAACCCCACACGTAATGTAGGGGCCTCAATGATGAGAATAGGGTTGTGGGGCCTATTGTACTATAGCTATGGTAAGGAACCCCCAAAGTAGTATAGGTATTTATTTAGGCGCCTACATGTACATATGTTCATCCAGCTGCAGCTTCAGTTATCGCAGATCCGCACATCC